CTGACAGCGGAGTACAGTAACAAAGGATTGTACCACATCGCCCCCTCCGCTGCTCAAAATGTAGCACCGCAAACAGCCTATAGCAACCTGTTTGGTGCATGTGGCTGCTCATCCAAGCTCTATCCTGGTAATTGCCGATTCTTGCTTAGTTTGAGATGGGAAGAGATTGGGCGCATTCTGGGCGGTTTTGGTCAAAGGCGAAGGACGACTCATGTAAACACAATAGCTCACGGACAGAGCGGTACAATCATGAAGGAAAACACACCGAATGTCTTCGAGGCTTTCCTGGGTAAAAAAAAAAAGTTAATTCTCACTGCGTAAAAGCAATTTACACGAGCATCCTGTACTGCTGTCATTGTCAATAACACCGATGCAAATCGCTAAGTAATGGCTTCGTAATCTATTCGATTTTACATGCAAGATTTGTTTTGTACTGCACTTGTGTTCCCACGTCTATGCTCCCCCGTGCCACAACCCCCTTCCTTTCCCACCTTCACCAACTCGCACTGACAAGTGTGGTGATGTGTGGTCAAATAACCACCACAAACTGCGCAGCGTGGGAAGGTTCTCTTCCTACAGAGGATTGACAATGGAGCTGTACACACACACAATGAGTAATTTTTTTTCCGTAAACTGCGCAGCATAAGTAAACATTCCGACTCGTGTGCGTTTAATACAAAATAAACCACATTCAACAGACAAGGGGACCTGCTATGGATTTAAATAGGGTGCTTAGGAGCTGTGAACTTGCAGAGACAAGTCCTCCCGGACTAAGATGCAGCAGATAGAAAGAGCGACGTTCCAATTAACACATGGCCACAAGCTTATTTTATGTAATATGAAGCTGGCAATTCTTATGTTGATAGGATACTATTGCAATGCATTTGAGAATCAATTATGCTAATGCATTGATTATGAAAGATTTGTTCAAGATGGTAATTATAATAATTCTACAGTATGATAAGACTACTACGACTACAGTAATGCCCTTTAATGCTTTCATTTTCCAGGAAAGGAACACAGAGTCAATACTTTTTCATGAAGGTCCCGCATTGGGAGGTTTCACCAATTACGTTAATGAGCATTTGGCGTAAAGGAGGAAATTGGAGTACCTAAATTTTAAAAACCCATGTATACGTGGCGACCCTTAAGAGGTCCGTACAGACCGACTCAAGAATCTACTGCTGGACTGCCATCTCCAGGCCACCTCTAGGGCCGAGGCGCCAACACTTCACACTCCAAGGCAGCCTCCAATCTAAATGCTCACGAGGTTCAACCCATCTTGGCTTCCAAGACCTGACGAGATCGAATGCAGTCGAGGTTGATTTGGTCGCGATGGTGATCATCGTGTTCTTTAAAAGATTGTCGACGTAAAAATTGATGTTGTACCGTATCGCACTGTAGTTGAAGATAAAGCAACAGACCCCAGCAGTGGTGGTTGTACCATGGTTGTTGATGGTAGGTCCTGGCTGTTACGATGGTGGTTGTTGATGGTAGTTAAGATGGCAATTGTTGTCAGTGGTGTTGAAATTGGTGAATGATTGTTGGTAATTATAATTAATTGGTCATGCTTGTCACAGGTGGTGGTTACTATATTTTGCTTGTATTGGTAGATGTATTGGTTGATGTATCATTGGTGGCTAATGCTGTTTATTTTTGGTAATACTTGTTTGGTGGCACCGATGATTTTTGGTAGTTGATACTGGTGGACGTGGAAGATTACTGTTTGTTGGCAGTGGTGGTTATATTATTGTTAGTAGCAGGGAATGGTTTTTGTTGATTGTTTATCGGCTATTGTTAATACCTACTGTTGGGTACAAGTCGAGTACTGTAGTAGTTACAGGATGATACAATGGGATGGTTATTGTTGTTACTACTGCATTGCCCTTCATGTCACCCACTGCCTACCACCACTATCTGGGCCACTAACACAACGACCATCAATACAAATGGCAAAACCAAAAACACCAATGCTTATGACATCACAACCACCACTCACGACCAAGTTGACCAATAACCTCTATCCACACCACTTACTACAGCCACCACCCATTGCAAACCCTGACATCACCACCCATGCTACAAACTTCATAACCACCAACATCACGAGCACCACTACAACATTACCACCACCAACCACATTATCAACACCATCAACATCGCAACCAGCACACTGGCTAATGCCATCACCCTCATCAGGTACACCACAAACACTACAAAAATCACCATCAACCATGCACTTGCATACACTTACCACCACACACTAATACTACCACGAAAAGTAACAACCGCCACCACACAGCATACCACCATCCATACAAATACCACCACCACTAACACCACCATAACCTTCAACACACCTCCTACCACCACTACAATTATACCACGGTTAAAAGTGTACCACTATCAAAACCACCACTAACCACACACGACCACAAACCTCTACTACGGTACTTATACCAGCCAGTGCCGGATTATCCTCGTAGCAAAAGTAGCTACATATGCTACGGGCCCCGCACTTTCAAGGGCCCCGCGCTAAATGCTTTCAAGCTTTCAATTCCGGTTCAGTGATTCTGCACTTGCTCCATCACTATAGTACTATACCGTCTTCAACTTTTATGAACGACTGGGTGTTTAAGGTTAGCGATTTGTCGTATTATATGGCTGTACAGCAAATTAAAAAAATACAATTACTTTACTATGCAATTTAAAAATGTGTTTAATATTTACGTGTTTTTTTTTTATTTAGGGCCCCTTTATAACAGATGCTACAGACTCCACACTAGCTTAATCCGGCACTGATACCACCACCTTCACCAAATACTATTATTTATACCACACTATAAATAGTATTATTTATACCAAATACAGATCCTCTGGAAAGCCTGAACAGACTGTTGGAGTTAAGTGACGGGCCGCATGTTGCCCCAGTATTGGCGTTTCCACATCTCACCAGGGAGTTATTTGAGGCCGAGACGATCTAGGGGAGGGCCCACAAACGATTCAGAAATATCGTCACTTGTGTTGGTCGTGAGCGGGAATCGAACTCCCGTCACCGGGTAGATTGCAGAGCGTGCCAACCTGCTACACCACCGCTTCCACAATACGAATTATTATTGTTGTTGTTGTACTGCACCACCACGGTCACATAGAAAGACAAAAAATCTCCCCCCCCCCTGCCGTAACAGACTGTTGGGGCAAGTGAAGTGCTGTTAGCGAGCAGCAGCACCTGTGAAGGCCGGCACGGCAACACGAGGGGGTGGGTGGCCGACACCACTCCCGGCCGCCTTTGTCTCCCAAGTGGCGATGTTTTTAACACACTGCACCAGATTCTCATTTGCGGCCGAGTCGACCTCGGTGAGGCCCAGGACCGGCTCAGATAATCGCCACCGGTGTTGGCCGTCAGCGGGTTTCGAACTCGGCTGGCCGGGTTGTGTAGTGCAGCGCGCTAAGCGCGACACAACCCCACCACCTCACAACCACACACCACCACCATCACCACCTCACACCATCACCACACCACCTCACAACCACACACCACCATCACCACCTCACACCATCACCACCATCACCACCTCACACCATCACCACCATACACCACCACCACCATCACCACCTCACACCGTCACCACCACCTCACAACCACACACCACCACCTCACACCATCACCATCACCACCTCACACCATCACCACCACCACCTCACACCATCACAACCACCACCACCTCACAACCACACACCACCACCATCACCACCTCACACCATCACCACCACCTCACACCATGACCACCACCTCACACCATGACCACCACCTCACAACCACACACCACCACCTCACAATCACACACCACCACCATCACCACCACCTCACACCATCGCCACCACCTCACAACCACACATCACCACCGCTTCACAACCACACAACACACCATCAACACCACCACACCACCACCTCACAACCACACACCACTACCGCCACACCATCATCACCGCCACACCACGATGGCCATCACCGTCACCACCACACCATGAGCACCATCATCACCGCCACCACCACCACACCATCACCCATCTCCATCTCCACCACACCATCACCCATCACCATCGCCACCACACCATCACCAACCACCATCTCCACCACACCATCTCCACCACACCACCACCATCTCCACCACACCATCACCCATCACCATCTCCACCACACCATCACCATCTCCACCACACCATCTCCACCACACACCATCACCCATCACCATCTCCACCACACACCATCACCCATCACCATCTCCACCACACCATCACCCATCACCATCTCCACCACACCATCACCATCTCCACCACACCATCTCCACCACACACCATCACCCATCACCATCTCCACCACACCATCACCCATCACCATCTCCACCACACCATCACCATCTCCACCACACCATCACCCATCACCATCTCCACTACACCATCACCCATCACCATCTCCACCACACCATCACCATCTCCACCATCTCCACCACACCATCACCATCACCATCTCCACCACACCACACCATCTCCACCACACCATCACCATCTCCACCACACCACCACCATCTCCACCACACCATCACCACCTCCACCACACCATCACCATCTCCACCACACCACACCATCTCCACCACACCACCACCATCTCCACCACACCATCACCATCTCCACCACACCATCTCCACCACACCACCACACCATCACCATCTCCACCACACCACCACCATCTCCACCACACCATCACCATCTCCACCACACCACCACCATCTCCACCACACCACCACACCATCACCATCTCCACCACACCATCTCCACCACACCACCACACCACCACCATCTCCACCACACCATCTCCACCACACCACCACACCACCACCATCTCCACCACACCACACCATCTCCACCACACCACCACACCACCACCATCTCCACCACACCACCACCAACCACGCGCTGCCCCGCAGTCCCGCACTCACTGTTTGGCGGCGAGCAGCTGCAGGGCCGTGTCGAGGCTCTCTCCCCGGAGCTCGCCGTCCGTCACCCAGCCCGAACAGCCGGGCCTCACGGGCATGGTCGCCTCGTCTCCCAGGGGCGGGCCGAACTCCTCCAAGAAGCGGCGGAGGAACGAGGCGACGGCGGCCGACGAAGCCGAGGCGGCGCTGGTGGTGGTCGATGAGGTGACGGAGTGGGCCCCGCGTTCCGGACTCCCCGCCATGGCGGCCGGGCATACCCGGGGCCAAGCGAGCAGCGAGCGGCAGCCCCCTGATGCTGACCACAGCCCCCTGATGCTGACCACAGCCCCCTGATGCTGACCACAGCCCCCTGATGCTGACCACAGCAGCCGGGGGGGGGGGGGGGTGGTCGTCTTCTTAACTGCACCTTAGCCCGGCCAACGCCGCACACCGTCTTTTAAACCACACCGGCGGCCCGGTCTAACCACTCTAATTGGAGGGGGGGGGGGGGGGGGTATAGCCACGGGCACAGCCCAAGCCAGATCGCGGTCTAAACCGCGATCAATGTAAAGCAGCACGCGAGCCCGGTCTAACCACACTCACGACTCGGACCTACACCTGAACTAGCCACGCGCTGGCTGGCTGCCTGGCTGCCTGGCTCGGTTGGTTGGTTGATTTGTCGGGTGAACTGTTGAGCCGACCGAACGGGATATCAGATTGGTTTGGTTTCTCCTCTAAACCCCCCTCCCCTCCACAACCAAACACGCGGCAAAGTCTTTAAGTAGGGCAGGCCCACCGGCTAGCTGGCTCGGTTGAGTACTGGAGTTGTTGCTGCTGCTGGGTGATGTGTCTCTCTCTCTCTCTAATTGTGATGGGGTGTGGAGGAAATAGGAGGGCTTTACCGTACAGCTCGGCGAGACCGCCGACGCTGCTGCTGCTGCCCCTACTACCGCTGGAATCCGCCCCGTGGTCTCCACGCCGCCGCCTCCACCACGCGGCCTTTGAGCTACGAGGCCACGCCCCGGACAGGTTGTACCACGCCCTTAACCACGCCCACGTCGTCCCAAACCGCGCCCACGTTACCCTGAACCGCGCCCACGTCGCTCTTAACCACGCCCACGTCGTCCCAAACCGCGCCCACGTTACCCTGAACCGCGCCCACGTCGCCCTTAACCACGCCCACGTCGCCCCAAACCGCGCCCACGTTTATCCGTAACCACGCCCGCGTTTACCCGTAACCACGCCCGCTCCTGATCCTGACATTACCACCACCACATTTCACCCAGAATCTGAATATTTATTTAGACTGGAGGAATCCGACGAGCTATCAAATAGTATTTGGTTCTTTCGGTAAAGTGGAAAATAATAGATCACGACGTTTCGATCACAACACAAGCAATCGTCATCAGGTGGGACAACCACAGCAAGACAAAAACTGCTGAAGTAAGCAGTCGGCCTACTGCTGAAGTAAGTCTACTTCAGTAGTTTTTCAGGCTGAAGTAGGCCTACAGCTGAAGAAAGTCTACTTCAGTAGTTTTTCAGGCTGAAGTAGGCCTACAGCTGAAATAAGTCTACTTCAGTAGTTTTTCAGGCTGAAGTAGGCCTACTACTGAAGGAAGTCTACTTCAGTAGTTTTTCAGGCTGAAGTAGGCCTACTACTGAAGGAAGTCTACTTCAGTAGTTTTTCAGGCTGAAGTAGGCCTACTACTGAAGTAAGTAAGTCTACTTCAGTAGTTTTTCAGGCTGGAGTAGGCCTACTACTGAAGGAAGTCTACTTCAGTAGTTTTTCAGGCTGAAGTAGGCCTACTGCTGAAGTAAGTCTACTTCAGTAGTTTTTCAGGCTGAAGTAGGCCTACAGCTGAAATAAGTCTACTTCAGTAGTTTTTCAGGCTGAAGTAGGCCTACTACTGAAGTAAGTAAGTCTACTTCAGTAGTTTTTCAGGCTGAAGTAGGCCTACAGCTGAAATAAGTCTACTTCAGTAGTTTTTCAGGCTGAAGTAGGCCTACTACTGAAGTAAGTCTACTTCAGTAGTTTTTCAGGCTGAAGTAGGCCTACTACTGAAGGAAGTCTACTTCAGTAGTTTTTCAGGCTGAAGTAGGCCTACAGCTGAAATAAGTCTACTTCAGTAGTTTTTCAGGCTGAAGTAGGCCTACTGCTGAAGTAAGTTTACTTCAGTAGTTTTTCAGGCTGAAGTAGGCCTACTACTGAAATAAGTCTACTTCAGTAGTTTTTCAGGCTGAAGTAGGCCTGCTGAAGTAAGTCTACTTCAGTAGTTTTTTTTCAGGCTGAAGTAGGCCTACTGCTGAAGTAAGTTTACTTCAGTAGTTTTTCAGGCTGAAGTAGGCCTACTGCTGAAGTAAGTCTACTTCAGTAGTTTTTTTCAGGCTGAAGTCGGCCTACTACTGAAGTAAGTCTACTTCAGTAGTTTTTTTCAGGCTGAAGTAGGCCTACTACTGAAGTAAGTCTACTTAAGTAGTTTTTTTTTCAGGCTGAAGTAGGCCTACTGCTGAAGTAAGTCTACTTCAGTAGTTTTTCAGGCTGAAGTAGGCCTACTACTGAAGTAAGTCTACTTCAGTAGTTTTTCAGGCTGAAGTAGGCCTACTGCTGAAGTATGCCGACTTCAGTTTTTTCTTGCTGTGGTTGTCCCACCTGATGACAATTGCTTGTGTTGCGATCGAAACGTCATGATATATCATTTTTCTACTTACATGATTTTACCGAAAGTACCAAAGAGTATGGCTTCCTGCAGTCACGAAAGCTTTAAATCAAGATTGAGCTATAAAATCTTTTGTTGTCTTTTTCTTTCACAGATGTTCAATAGGGGCAGGTCAGAATGTTGCAACAACAAACAATATAAAAGCACGATAGTATAGGAAATGTAAACACATCACTTTAAAAATATCTATGTACAAATACAAACAAAAAATTTTTCATCTTACCAGGTAAATCCCACTGAGCTATTAGCTTATTTTTCGGAAGCCACCTGGCCACAAATGATAATCCACCACGCACCCACACTGGCTGTGAAGCCATGACATTGAATAACACATTGTATGGGGATACCACTGCGTTGGCATCAGTGCACAAGCACACGCAAAAACCTTAACATTTACCACAGTGTTCCTTAAAAGCCAAACTTATATCATGTGCTATGAAGGGTAGGCCATTGTATTTCATTTTAAGGCCTCAGTGTTATTGACTATTGTGTCGAGTTTTTTTATTAGAAGTCGGCATGTAACAATTCACTGGAGTAATGGCGGAAATATTGATTGCGTCAATTAAATTCAAGCAAGAATCCATCACTTGTGTTTGTTTTTGCTGTCTAGTTCTGCACTATGCCGCATTCATTGACCCGAACAAGGCTTTTGACACAGTCAGTCGTGATGGTCTCTGGAGAATACCTTCCAAACGGGGCTGCCCTCCCAAGTTCCGTACCATGGTACACGTCGGACAGACAGGCCACGGGTCAAATACAAAGGAAGCATCTCAGACAGCTTCCACATCAACAATGGGGTCAAGCAAGGTTGCGGACTGGCACCTTACACTCTTCGCCATATTCTTCAACCTGATGCTCCAGGAGGCAAAGGAGGGGCTAACAGAGGGCCTCGACATCCGATTCCGGACCGATGGCAATATTTTCAATCTTCGAAATCTCTTTGCCAATAACAAAACCACAGAGCAATATGTTTTAAAACTGCTGTGTTGCAGATGACTGTGCACTTCTTGCACACACGAAGAAGGCCCTATACAGCTCATTGTGAACTGTTTATCTGAGGCAGCTAATGCTTTTGACCACTGACTTCGCCTCACCACAAAGATAAAGGTATACAGCGCAGTTGTGGTAACAACCCTTCTTTACGGCTCAGAATCCTGGGTCCTGTACAGGAAACAGCTTAGGCTGCTGGAGCATTTCCACCAGCGCTGCCTGCGTTTCATCATGAACGTCAGATGGCAGAACTATGTCACAAACAACATAGTCCTGGAGAAAGAGCTTAGACACCCAGCATTGAATCCATCTTGCTGCCTCATCAGCTACGCCGGGCTAGCGACGTCTCGTGCATGGAGAACAAGAGGATGCCCAAAGCGGTCCTCTACAGCGAGCTGTGTCATGGGAAGCGAGACAGTAGACCTTGCAGACGCTTCAAGGACCAGCTCAAACAGCAACCGACCACTGCGGGTATCGACACCCGAAGCTGGGGTCTCAGGGCATGCGGACACAGAACACTTGCGCTCCACAGCACAAGGAAGCGACTAAAATGGAGGACCGAACGAGGCATACAGCCTCAACAGAAAAACGGAGGCGCAGAAAGACTACCACCACGGACATGTCCCCCAAATGCACCACCTGCCACGAAATTTTCAAGTCAAGGATTGTCTTGTACAGTCTGTACAGCCACCAGCGCGCCTGCCAACTACACGGATCTTCGCAAGCGAAGAACCAGCCGCCGACGACGAGTTTTGCGCTATTCAGCTTCTTTTGTTACAATAGCCTAAATTTACATTTTCAGATGGCAATGTGTTCAGGAGCTAATTAACAGCAACATGACAAGATGTGTTCTTAAAATTGGAATGGTTAAAGACATAATAGCGAATATTTTTTTAAACCACCTCACATGCTGATAATTATAATAACCAATGGAAAGGACATGATACATGTATGGAAGAACCTAATAAAAAGGTTGCAATGTTGGCTCCATGATGAATGATACGCTATAAACAAAAGTAAGTGAAAATAGTTTGCTAAACCATTGAAAATCTATTGGTTGGGCACTCCTAGAAAACATCGGAGTTTTATACCTGGGGCACTTATTGACGGCGGACTGCGATGTAAATGGTAAGAGGAGGACACGAGAGCATATATAAGACCGTACTTGATCATGAAAAGCAACTTACCAATGTGCCTATATAACAAGTTTGTTATCAGTGGAAATGAGTGTTGTAATATGGATCAGCAGAAACGTAGACACTTACGAAGTAAATGGACCATACATAGGAACGTGAGGATCAGGGAACGTACCCAGGTCAGAGACGTACAATTGACTTAAGAAAATTAGGCTTGGGAAGGGCACATCGCTCGGAGAGGTGATGGCCGGTGGTTGAGTGTAAAATGACGAGACTGGAGATGAACACCGCATGAGATGGGGCGATGTACAGTACGTGTATATGTTTGTTGAACAACTTTCGCACCTGACGTGGCCAACCGTCATCTTAGGTGCAGCGGGGGGGGGGGGGGTAAATTGTACATACAAAAAGTTATTTAACTAAATATTACCTTATTAAGAATTAACATTATCAGCCATCGGAATCAGAATCTTTTATATCCTGGAGAAATCCGATGAGCTATGCAGCTCTTTTTCACAGATGTCCTGTAGGGGTGGGTCATAAGGTTACAACAACAAAATAAAAATAAACAATATGGGTGCAAAGTACGCACACAAACAGCGATGATATAAGCTCGTGGATTGTTAACATCGTGTGACAGGTATGTAATCGCCAGGACCCTCAATCTGGAAGTGGATTGACCAAAGGGTTGTACACACATGGACGTTGGTATAGGGTATGGCATTTGCATGGCTTAAAACTACGCAGGTAACGAGTCATTTATTAAAATGTATTCTTAAACTGAAGTTAAACGGTTCAGTTGTCCGCGTTACTCTTGCTATATTTTTGTATTTTAACCTCGGTCTACAGCACCGAAAGCAGACTCTTCTACAGAGGAGTAGCTCTCAAAGTGTGGGCCCCGGACGGGCCTCCAGGTGGTTCTTGATGGGCCTCCACGTGGTTCCGGACGGGCCTCCACGTGGTCTTCAGCCTGTGATGCCAATGCAGGTTGATTAGTAAAGAATGACAACGTTAATATATTTTGGTTAGGACGTTAATAAAAAAAATATATATACTAATAACATTTAATGTGAAAATGAGGATAGGTAAACTGCCCTTATTAAACTACCCTAACACTGAGATCTAAATGCCACCACTTAAAAAAACGTAAGGCTACGTCAACATTTTTTTATGTTCCGGTAACATGAATAATGTTCTATTAGTGGTATT